GGAGATGGATACTCTGCTTTCACTAAAATCAGAATTTTGGAGATATGATTCTGGGGCTGCTAGCATCCATCTTGCCCTCAGGATGAAAAGTCTGGAGCCCACTCAGGAAGACCACCAGAGGGATAAGAAGACACAGAGTTCTAGATTCAGCTGTGCCTGAAACCAGAGACATGGCATACATTTCCTTTTTTGCTTAGGTAAGTTTGATTTTGGTTTTCTTTCATTTGTAACCAAAAGAATCTTAATTGATCCATACTGTCTGGATTTTGATATCTGAACCTTTAGAATGAGGATGTTGAAAACCAGTTACTGTATCTCAGTGGAGGCAATAACAGCACTTGGTCAATCTTTATTGTGCAACTGATCTGAACATTTGTTTTTGCCCCTGTCCACAAAATGCCAGAAGCACCCTTCAGTTACTATGACAACCAAAAATCCACCACCTATCCCACTAGACACACACACACACACACACACACACACACACACATAGCTCCAAATGCTCCCAAAGGGATTCTCCCCAGTTGAGAACAAATAAACTAGAAAATCTCTAAGGTTAACCAAGCTGAAATTAGCCAAATCAAGTTACCGTGAGTCTAGTCTTAGCACTAGCTGAGAATAATTTAGTCTTTGTATTCACTTGTATTTAAAATAAAGACATCATATATAGCAATATAGGTAAGCCTATCAAGGATCATTGTGATAAATTACTCAGGAAATAACTCTAGCTAACCTCAAATGGATCCTTAACATTCCCAAGGGTAATATCCTAAATACTTTTGAATATCATTGTAGCTTAAAATTTGTCCCATAAAAAGGCGGTTCTTAAAACCCTGAAATTTTAAAGTGATCTTTTCAAACCCCTAATTCATCTATCAATAGAGAATTAAAATTACTTATAAAGCTACTTTTATAAAGTCACTATCATTTTTCCAGACCTCTTTGATTACATCTCCAGCAAGAGAATTTGGCTTTGGAGGCAGTAGTTGTGGGTCATTTTTTACAAACAAATAGGTTTTATTACTTCCCAAGTGTTACTGCATGGCTGACTAGAAAACACTAGTGAGATTGATGACTGGCAATCAGCCAAATTCATTTACTTCACCACATCCAATGAATAATTTACTATATGTCATGCTTTGTTAGCCAAAATCACAAATGTTCGATCCTTGAATGCCAAGGATCTCTTGTACCTCATAGTGGTCTGCAGATAGAAGAGAATAACATTTCAGTGCAGTTTATGATTTACCAGTTTTTGAATCTATTTTTTATGTTACCTTTGCAATCTTTGATTGATGGATTTTTCCTTTAAGCCATGCTCTTTTCTCGTCTTGGCAATTTTGTGCTCTTAATATTAGCTTTCAAACAAATAGTCTAAACTCTCCACTGGCGTATTTGGATATGTTGGGAGAGTGGGTTACTTTCCATGTGTTGCCTTTGAAATACGAGCACAATAAGATGACTTCACATTGCGTGAGCACACCAGCCAAATTCAGGCCGAGAGTTACAGCCACAACACAGGCAGTGCTTTCATCTCCACTCTCTTCAAAACTGCCAAAAATTATTGCTGCTGAATGTAGTGCCAGGATCCTGGGGCTAATTTTTATGTTAGGAGAATCTGAGGGGTATCATACACTCATCTACCAGCTCAACTAGCTAACAACCTCTCCTCTCCACCACAGCCCTTCTGCAAAACATGGCAGTGACTTTACACAATGTTATCTGCTCACTTGCAACAAAGCAGTTCAACTATTTGAAGGCTGAGATGCACCATAGAAATCAGAGAAGTGAGACAGAAGGGAGAAGTAAGGGGAGGCAGTTAAACCACTTCAAAACTACTTTTAGAATTTCAGACAGTGTAGAAAGTAGCCTTGAAACTCAGAGTGAAACCTCAGTCTTTTCATACATTCATCTTTGAAGCCAAAAGTTTGTGTGAAGGCTGGCTATAAAAGCACAGCCTCATGCCTTCATGAACAGCAAAATTAAGGAATTTCCCCAAATTTCCTATGGTAGCTTTGCTTTACATTACTGTGGCTGCCATAAACGGTCTCCTCTTCTATGTCCTTTATCCCCACACCTCCATTCCTCGGATTTGAGCTTGCAAAAAGACTGAGATTTCATTTTCAGCAGAATATACCATGACCAAGCCTCATGTGGGACTGCATATTAGAGAAATGTAATGGTCTTAAGTCTTACCCATCCATTCTTTAGAAGAAATAATCACCTTCAGCTGAGCGAAGTTGATTGAGCAAATGTTCGGTTTTCACATGATTATGCTGCAGCACCATAATGAATGTACCTCTTTGATGGAAGAAAGAAGGTCCATGAAACAAACAGTTAAAGGATTTGTAGTTGGAGTTTAGAAGCATGAGCTGCTTTGTTCTTATGATGACTGCTTCACCATCTAATACATTTCTCCACTTTGAAGGATCTGTCTTTTTTTCTCCCAGCCACAACCCTCAAGCTACAATAACAGACTCATGATTTTTTTAGATGCCAAGGTTATGAATACTCTTTTATGAATATTTTCCTTTGAACTCATTCTCTTGAAGAAGAAAAATAGCCCTATGTTTTGCAGGGTTGACAGACAAAACACACAAATTGTCCTCCTAGGGGCAGTAAAGTGCTCCAAAATGCACATAGAAAAATTCAAAATGCAACATAATGTTTATGGAGCACTGCCTCTGCAGCCTGCAATTTTTAAAAAGTAATATTTCTGACTGGCATGTATTATGTAGAACATATTTCAGAGATTAATATCAGGATTAATACCTTAAAATGTCCCCCTTAATGGCATCATGATTGCTTTTCCCATATTAGTGCAAACTCTTAGTGAATAGAATTTTAGGATGTGCCATTTCAAAGGAAAGTAACCTTCACTGGATTAAGCTGCTTACGCTTTTATTATTCCTTTCATCTCATTTCAACATATCCTCAAACTTCGCCCTCTAAAAAAAATCATTCAACTAATGCCAATTCAACAGATTGTAGTACATCTATTAACTTCATTCTGTCCCAAAAGGAACTTATTATTTAGGCTTATAATTATTTATTTCTTTTCTGTTGTTTTATTTTTTTAAAGGTGTTTTCCCTGAATCCCTTTCAAATGTTTTATCATAATCCAAAAATTAATCCAGAAAACTCAGCCTCCTTTAATCCTGCTTTGTGGCTTAGATTCTTTAGCCCCGTGACCACTCATGTTGATTTCTGTTGTATGCAGGATTATGTAAAATCAGCCTTTGCTATGGCAGAAAAATAATTCTGCATTCAAATGACATGTATCTGAAGTCTAACATTGTGGAATGAATCATGTCACTTAAGAATGCTGTCCCAGATTGAAAGAATGACTTATAAAAATTCCGACATACAATTCGTGCTTTGCATTTAAGCATGAAGAATATTCTGCAAAGTTCTTTCATGTAAAGAGGCAGTACTCTACAGTGGTTTAGAGAATAAGCTTTAGAGCCTCTGCTGGGGTTCAAATCCCACAACTGCCACTTCCTAGCTAGCTGTGTGATTTTGAAGAAGGCACTTAACCACCCTAAGCATCATAAAATAATACCATTTACTCCTTGGAATTGCTGTGAAGTTTAAGTTGGAAAATACATATAAAGCACTTAGGACACTCTCTGACCCAGAGTTAGTACTCAGTGTGTTAGCTCATAATATTAATTAACTGACAAAGCCACAACACCCCTTTACATAAAGTTAGGAGCATATTTGTAAAATAAAAAGAAACCCTAGAAAAATCTAATTCTGCAAGATTTACCAACATGAAATTAGACAGATAATGTTACATATATGATTATATATAATTCTGGCTATTCTTTCATATATTTATGTACAGTCACATACATAAAATTATATTTATTCTTTTTTTACCTGGAAAATATGTTTTAATAAGTAAAATTCCTTTCCCATTAAGTTCCTTTGTCATTGAACTGAAAGCTGCTATTGCTTCCCCCTCCACGTGTCTGTCTCATACTCCCCGGCCCCACCACGATAGGTTAGGGAGTATTTATGAAATGTCAGCTCAGAACAGGGAGCACATAAGAACAGTGGTCCCAACTAACTTCACGTGTATGGCAAGAACAATTTCGAATTGTTTAATTGACCAAGTTTGTATTTCTAGATAATCATTTCCTATAGCTAAAGAAAAATCCGTAAATCCCTTATGTGTTTCTAATGTAAATAATTTTGCTTCCATGAATCTCCTGAAAGAAATATGCTTTCTTTAAGTAATTAACCAAACTTGAATACCATGTACTTCACTACACAAAAATTATCGTAACTATTATTCTACTACTGTGTTACCTTCATATTGACTTTGGAGTTCACACTCATCTTTTTCTGTCTTCATCTCTACCCAAGATCAAAACAGCAAGTAAATGGTAATTATATAATTGGACAGAAAAAAAGGCCACAAAAATTGTAGATACTGTTTGATTAGAATTCCATTTTAAAAGCCTGCATTGAAAATATGCCAGAAAAAACTAAAGTGTGAATGGTGATGTTGATAAGGTAATAGGATTATAATTTCTCCTTTTCTCCATTTTCTTCTTTTGTTACCAATTATATTACTTTTATAATAAAAATGTTAAATTTGTAAAACTGTAAAAATTGAGCTATACTTTAAATTAAACAATTTTCACTTCTATATTTAAAAAAAGAAATTTACAGCATGACACTTATTTCGGATTTAATTTCCATAGAAAGAAGATACAAAGATTTCTCGAAGATATTTGAAAGCTTTCAAACCACATCTCTGTTTTGATAAATGCAATAGATTCCTAAGTATAAAAAATAAAACTAAGGCTACACATTGCACATCACCATCATAATTAAGTAGTATTTAGAAGACCATGATACTGAATATATGAATCTGATTTAACATCTTAGTTTCTTATCTAAAGGAGTTTTTAAAAGACATTTATTTTTCTGTTTTCCTTACATTTCCCAATCTTTATCCCTAAACGAAAATTAATAAGCAATTTAGGACATGATGTAAACCTATGATTTATTGATCACATATCCAAAGATACCAAAAGAATGAATCTATAAAAGTTTCCACACAGCATTTGCCTAGAGCCAGTTTATTTTAAACTGTGCCATGATTTTTTAATGTGATACTAGATACAATTACCATAATCTAAATCAGAATATTACAAATGAAGATATTCTAACACAAAGACTTGTATGATTTTGTTTAGGTTGCCAATGGTTATCACATCCAAATTTTCTTCATTGTCATCCATGGTGTGCCAGACTTCAGGGAAAGGAAATGTTATCAGATGCAAAATTGGGACACCTAATAAAAAAGAACCAATATGTAAGTAAATGCATATTTCCAATGAGTAAACTTGAACATGTCATTTGTCAAGCAGAAGTCTGAATGGGAGCTCTGTACCATATAAAGACAACTGATAATTCATCTTCTGTGGACTTTCCTGTGTACAGGGATCAGAACTCTAAAGTCAATCATTTATTAAACAAATGTTAATTAATTCCATAAACAATTATAAAGCACCTACTATGTACCAGTCTGTATTCCAGGGATTGAGGTCTCATCAGTGAAAAGGTAAAACCCTACTCATTTGGAGCTTACATTCCAATAGTTTAGAAAGAAGCAACTAAACAAAAAAAATTTTAGAAGGTGATAAAGCTTATAAAGAATAATAAAACATGGTATGGGAATAGAGAATGAGGGGCAGAAAAGCCAAGAAAGGGGTATTTAAAGCCAGGGGTGGCCTCTTTGAGAAGGAAGAATTTATTTTAAATAGAGACATGCTATTATAAAAGAGAAAGCAAGCTGTGCAAAGATGTGGGGAAGAGTGAAAGCTGAAAACCAACTAGGAGATTACAGCAAGGTCCCTGGGCTGACTTAGACTTCTGCCATAGACATCAAGGATACTACTTCCTTATTAATCAGAAAACACCAGAGTTACACAAAGTGTAAGAATACAGTCTAACTCTGTGAAAAGAAAGGCAGGTCATTGAAATATGAGCTTTCATAAGTATTTTAAGTGTAGGGAAGAATATAAAGGTGTCCTCAAGGATTTGGAATGGCCTTCATAAAAACATAGATGCCATGAGATGATCGGTAGAGATTGAATTAATTAATTAATTACAGTTAGTGGTTGCTCACCCTTCCAGACTGTTGCAAATGCACATAAAATATAGTAAATACAGCAGGTAAAAATTGCACATGTCCATGCACATGTACACACAAACACATAGACATTACCTTTTCTTAAAAATGGAATATGGTCATCCTGAATCACACCTCCATAACCAGAATTCTGGAAATACTGCCTCTCCCAAGAGTGATCCTTGAGCAAACCTAATTCATGGAGTTCATGTTCTGCAGATGAAAATAATACAGCAGATGAGTATCTCCTTTTATCCAATCAATATTCAGAATGCATAAGGAGTTTGAAATCTTGTGGCCATTGTTTTTAAAATATTATGCAATTTAAAATATTATGCAGCAGTGAGCACAACCACACCCATGGCAATAGAGGAGGCTCTATATTCATCTGGGCTGAACAAGCAGATGAATATATTTTGGAGTAGTTCTGAGGAGAGAAGAATCACACATGGTCCTAGCTTTATGGGTGAGAACCTCCTTAGAGGTAGAAACTCACTCAGTAGAACAATAGAGAATGAGAAAACTAGAGGAAAATGGAAAATTGTCAGGGGGAACATTGGTGCTACACTTACGGATCCAAGATCCTATATGCAGAATTCCTTAAGAGAAGATGTGGTTCTTGAGGAGCAATACTCAACTAGAACGGGGATGAAGTACACTGGGTGGCCACTCTATGGGAAACAGATCCTCTTATGACCTGCACTAGTGGTTCTCGAAGTGTGGTCTCTGACCAGCGTGATCAGCATCATCTGGAAACTTATTCGAAATGCAAATTGTCTGGTCCCACCTCAGACCTACTGAATCAGAAACCGAGAGTGGAGCCCAGCAATCTGTGTTTTAATAAGCCCTCCAGTTGATTCTGATGTACACTACAGCCTGAGAACCATTGGCCTGCATTCCGTTACTCTTTGTCATCTTGTAACATAGAACCCACATGTTCCATGGTTACATGTAACGTGAATTCTGTTACAAAATAATAAGAGAGCACAGAAAAAGTATGAAACAACTGAATGAAACTTCCTAGGATTGTTGTGGGTTTTATTTTAATTACTAATTTAAAGAGTAAAACTAGACCAAGTGGTAAGCAGGCATATGTAATATGATTTTAGGAACATTGAGAAAGGCCCTTACCACTACCAAAGCAATATTCCCATCTGTTTTTTTGACACTTATAACTCCTTTACCTTATACAATTAAAGATATGGTTTTAAGTGTAAATACCTTTATGGGGGCAGCAATGGGTTAAAATTGCATTAAGGGGCAAGTTACTGATATAAGTTCATTCTGGTAGAGGAAATAAGAGAAGGACATAAAATCTTTGACAGAAGGTCAAACCCAATTTCTTGAGGCTACCATCAAAGTAAGAAAACATCCTGCAAGGCAGAGGCCCAAGAAGCTTATGTTAATGATGCCATAATGGCAATTCTTTCAAACTAGGAATTGGAATTTGCTAACGACCAGTATCTGAGGTTCAGGTAAAAGTTTCTCTTACTATTCTAGATCTGGATATTGGCAAATTCTGAGCTCATGGCAAAAGCTTGAGTTGAGATGGCAATGCTTTTCCCACTGCTTAGAAGTAATACAATTCCATCCTGTTCTAAGAAGTTTGTATGGCTAGTAAGGAATTTCAAGCCTGAAGTTCTTGCCTTGAAAACAGGCCTCCTGGCCTGGATTCTGTAAAAAAAGGTCTACCTCATCTACCTCATTTTCATCTCTCCCTGACGCCAAGTGTGTGTGTGTGTGTGTGTGTGTGTGTGTGTGTGTGTCTCTGTGTGTGTGTGTGTGTGTGTGTGTGAAAAATAGTTCTCCTTTTCCTTCTCCAAGTTCCAAGCCTCTCTCTTGAGCCATAGTTATCTTAGTTTCTTTGCCTGGGCTGGCCTGACCTGGTCTGGCCTAGTCTATTCATATTTATTTGACACTAAGCCTTCTCTTAAATGATGCTTAAAGGATCTTGGCTTCCCCTTGCATCCCAATCTCCTACTCCTTTGGAAAATAGGCAGAGATTGTACTAGATGTAAAGGAAAATCACGTCTGGATAAGGCACAAAACAGAAGATGACAAAAACTGAGATGGAAAAGCAAGAAACCTTCAAAAATATCTTTCAGTATCATTATAAGGACATAACATTCATCATTAGCCAACAGGCTTTGCTAAGTAAAGTTTTCCCTAGAAATGCATTCCATATGCTTGAACAAGACTCCAGGAAAATATTTTCAAACCATTTCTAAGGACATGCAAATATGAAATGTAGTATTTTATGTTTTCATTTCAAAATACAGTTTCATGCAGGAACATAAACTGGGCATACTAAAATAGATGACTAGGAACAATAAACTAATCAATAAAGCAAGAAAACAAGCCAAAAAAGTACATTATTTATTCAAACCATATACTCAAATTATGATTTTTTTTTAATGTAATGTTTGTCAGTAGGAAGAATCCAGGTTTAACTCTTTAATAACAATGATATTTACCAATTGCTTGAAGCCTACTAAACCATCTGGCAGAGTTTGGGAAAAAATTGGGAAATGTGGGATTTGGAGCTCCAATTAAATCCAGTAAGACCAATAAATCCTAAGGGAGAGAAAAAATATTGTTTAATCACTGTCACCAAAACACATTCCACACTCACGAATGGAAAAAAACAACCAGTCAAGACTAACTGCATTTTAATCATTGAGAATAAGCTAGGGAGTCATACAAATGAACTTAATAAAATTGTAAGCTAATTATTACGGAGAACTTTTAAAACCTTTTTTATACAATGTGGACAAATGGCAAAGTGTAGATTCTTTGTGTCTGTAATTCAAAAATGGTATCACTAAGGATAAACTAGAAAAAGGTCATTTGGATAAATACTTCATAGATTTAAGTTTATTTTCTGATGGCAGTTCAAGCCTGTCTGAACTTCTATTCCATTCTAATTAGCCATTTTATCCTTTGTCTGTAATGATACAGCTGCCTATTAGAGACTAAGTGGATAGTAATTATTCATTCCTCAAAGCAGCATATAAGAAAAACTCCTTGACTAGAAGCTACGTGATCTTATGTCTCTGGGACTCCATTTTCTTTTCCATCAAACCAGAAGCTCAAACTTGCTGAACTCTAAAGGTCCCTTCTGGTTGTAAACTTCTGTAATTAACCCAGTGTTTCTTAACTTATTTGAGCCATAAAACATTAAAAAGCTTGAGCACTCCCAGAAGACTACTCCCTGCCCAGATTATTAACTCCTAATTTATGTAAGTGAGATCATGTGTAGGTAATTGTCGAGCAGAGATCTTGACACAGAGTAGATAAATATTTTCAGAGTCTGTGATTCTAAAGACATAGTATCTATTGACTCAGGAATGACAAATATATTTACTGAAAAAAATTAGGGTTGCTTGAAATGGGAGTATATTCATAAGATTGGATAAGTTACTCAGACTTTGTTTCTGGACAAATGGTCTTAACCATCACTATGGATACATATAGTGGACAGACAAATAAGTAACTTTGTTCCTCCTACTGATCAACCAGGTCTCTCCTCCTCCTCTGAAATGTTTTTTGCATGTGGGCACAAATGACTGAATGAGTGTGCTGAGCATATTCCCTTGACCCATTATGAGCTGCCAGTCAGAAAGGGGATGGAGAGAATGCCAACATGAGATGTATTAGAGTCACAAAGGACATTTAATGTGGCCATGTGGACTCATAGGGTGAAGGTCAGTTTGAAAGGACAGGGATGAATGGAGGAGGTTAGGAATAGGCTGTCAGTTCACAGATTGGTGAGGGTCAAGGACAGATAAAGGTCCAAGAGAAAGTCTCAAGAGTAGCATGAGGTTCCTAGCTAAGGTCAGTGAGGACTCAAGACTGAGTGAAGGTCAAATATGGGAAGAGAATCAGAGTAGGGACAGAATTCAAGGTGGGCTGAAGGATTACAGATGAAGTATGTGTCCAGACCAGGAATGGGGATGAAAATGGGGTCATGTGCTGCACCCATTACTTGGTAATAACAGTAGGATTTTATGGCAGCATCAAAATTTCTCCACCCCCAGGTCAAAAATGTCACATACACACTTGGAGTCATTATAATGCCTTGAAACCACCGAGGCAATTCTCCATTCCCATCCCCACACTATGTTCCACTGTGGTCCCACTTCCCAAGACCCTAGCCTCCCCAGGATCTTAGAGGCCTCAAAAAAAAGGGACTTTCTCTTTCCACCCCTATAGAGTACTGGAGGAATGTGCTCTAATTGGACCAAACAGATGTGATGTTTCCTTAACCTGATTTTTTTAAACATCATTTTAATTAAGCTCAGTTGAGCACAACTTCTAACCCAGAATCATTCTTTTTAGCTCTAGGATTCCTCAAAAACCTAATGCCTGCCAAGGAATGTTCTATTATAAACACTCCGCTCCAAGGATGCCATGGCAATCTTAGGTCTTCAACTGGCATTAGCTCCAGCTTCCTTTGAGGCACAGCCTGCAGCTACAGCTCATGGAAATTACCAACTAACCATGCCGTGCAGTTGGTTGGTATCTCTTGCTCCAGGTGGGTGTGGGGTCGATGCCATCTTTGAAGCTAAGTGCCGAGACCCATATAGAGAATCATGAGGAGACCAGTGATGAAAAGCCTCTTCCCCATCGAAGAAAATCATCTGGAGTGAGACATCTAGCTTGGAGTCTGAAGTGTTCTGGCAAAAGGAATAGTGAAAATATGGCAAAAACACTGTGAGGGTTAAAAAATAGCATGCTTTCCTATCAGCTGAGCGAAAAGACTGATGTACCATGAAGAAAAGGAAGAAACCAAAGAGAATTAAAATATACCCAAATTTATTTTGCACCACTTCCACTCCAAAAATCATCCCACTTCCTACAGTATAAACTCACCTTCTCCTACTCCCTCTGAAAACTGAAGTATTGTATTTTCTCGTACTCCTCAGAAAATTTCGCAACTGTGGAATTGCTATGGTGCACAAGATGATGCCACCCGGTTCCCTTTCAGAAGGACAGCCAGGGAAGCTGTCCGCTGTCAGTCCCTTTAGGGACTGCCCCTACATCCAATGACTGATCTAAGCAGTCCTAGGGGCTCTAAAGGGCCATTCCACATCCAGTGCTCCCCAGCGGTTGGCTGAGGCTGTTGTTAAACCTGCATGGCAGTTTGACTTCTCCCTCCAACTACTCCCAATTCTCCTCCCTCCCTGTCACAGGTGATGAGCCCCGGCCAACTCCCAGGACGACCTAAATGCTAAACTCCACATCAGCCCATGCATGTCGGAGAACACAGCCTGAAACAACTGCAAACCTTTCTCACCTCTCACCTTACTTAGGTCTGCAATTTTTTTTTTATTGAGTCTAGGCTAAAGGATTTGCCCTAGGATGCAACAAAGACACAAAGAATAATAATTAAAGCTTCTCCCCTGAAAGAGCCTTCACTTTAGTTGGGTGAGGAAAGATAAACAAATAATATGAACATGACAAAATGTGCTGAAGGTCACAGATATAAGTAACATAAAACTCCTCTGGTAACTGGATAGAATGTGAGGTCCAATTCTCGGGGTGTCAAGGAAGACTTTGTGAAAAAGATGGTGTTTGAGTGGAATTTAAAGGTGTGAGTAGGATTCTGATTGATTTTATACTCCCCACTATCTGACAACTCTCACCCTTCCCAATCCTTCACCCCAACTGGAATCCCTAATCTACTGAATCATTCACCTTTTCACAGTCCTTCATTATGTCCTCACTTCACTCTATATTCAGTTTAAATTCCAGAGTTGAGCAATCTAATCACTCCCTTACATACACACTCAACTCCCTTGTCCCTCTCTCTGCCTTAGTCACTCTCCCATGGCAGAAACATAACCTTCAGTCCAACTTTGTTTGCCTCCTTTGTGCCTACGTTCTTGCGATTGAACCTGGCTGGAGAAAAACATACAACAATTTTCCCAATATATACTAGAGGAATACGCTCCCATGAGACTGAACTGAATGTGAAGTGTTCTTAATCTGTTATGGATACAACTCCTATCTCTCTAAGGATATTAAAAATGGTGTCCTTTAAGTTATCTTCTGCTCCTTGTAGTTGATTTCGTCCCAGTTCATTTTTCAATCTGTAGTATTTGTTTTGCTTGCCTTCTTTTATGCTGGAGACTGTCCTCAAATGTCTGGCCATCTTTTGTGTTCATTCATATTAAAGAATAAGGTGCTAAAAGACTGACTAGAGATACAGATTGGCTGGCCTCACTGCACGGCAATCTGGTGCACTGTCAGTGTTTTCACTGACGTTCTCCAAATGTCAGTCTGTGGGTCTTTTCTATGAGGTAGCTCACATTCCTCAGAGAAGGACCCTCCAGTTTCCTATCTGATGGGTATCCAGTGGGTTTATTCCTATTTGCTGCCTTTCTCCCACTGGACACTGGGAAAAGGTTGGAATCTTACTGTTCAATATGCAGACTTTTACCTAATCTCCTTGATTTCCATGAGGCACCTCGTGACTGCCCTCCTCTGTATCTGGAGTCCCCATATCCAGAACCTTTGTGGTTCAATTTCTCCAGAAAAACATTCTGTCATCTGCAAGGGTACAGGTGGTACTTTCACCTATCTGCCAGGTACTGGGAGGGAATCTATAATATAATCTAAATTCTCCTTATCCAGACTTATAAACACTCTCCTCTCTAGCCCTGCCTCCCTTCTGCATTCCTCACTATCCCCTCCAATCCCTGAGCCATTCCAGGGTTTTGCCAGGGCATTACTGGCCTGCTCATTTCCTCCTCTCTCTGGGGACTGGGACTTCTCTACTCATTTGCCATTTCTCATTCACCTTCTGTCTTCATATTGTGGCTCCCATTAACAGATGTTCCCTAGATTCATCAGAGATGAATCTTTGGCTTTAGGGTAATTTCCTAAGAAGGAAAAAAGTGCCTTTATCGTCTGAAAACAAAGAGAACTTTGTATGTTAATCATTTCCACTGTCTTAACATCTCTTCTAAATTAGACCACAGGAAAATGACAGTTTATCATCCTTTGAGCATCTCAGCACTCCTGACAGCATTAAACATGGGCTGTGTCTGTCTGGCCAATATATATGCTCTCAGGGTTTAATAAGAACTAAATAATCAGACATATTTCCTCATTGGAAGAAGGTGTAAGGTACACATTTCAGTGGAGGCATTTGATGTTTCTGGTTGTTTAAAGGGCTTCGACTGGTTCCAAAGTTCTAGCTCCAAATCAAATAGCATAATCACAAACTGGAGCAGAATGAGAGGACCTGGGACCAGAGAGACATGCTGCTCATACCCAGGCCAGAAGCAAAGAGAGGGATTTTTCGTATTCTGCAGGCTTGAAGATTCAGGTGCTCCACTGAAATGTCAACAACAAGACGACTCTGGTCAGTGATCAGTGCAATGATTTACTTTCCCTCCGTTCTCAGCATCAGTCCATTTAGACGGGAGTAGACTTTCATGGGTGATGATCCTGAGTCCTATGATGCAACTTGCTCTTTTGCTTCTTCTCAGGATTGGCATGAAAATAACTGGTAGCCTTCAATTTCCAGTAACTCAGCCTAGTACCTTGGAGCTAGGAAAATCTGTGTGGCCTGATTTGTGAAGCTCTTCCATTTTCATAGTAAACCATTAATGCCTAGTTATGGTTGTTAACATCGTCTGTGAGTTATCTGCAGTCTTGCCCCATCCAAGCAGTATTAATTAATGCCACAAGGATAAGATATCAAAATCTCCCCAACGTCAGTGTCTTAAAATAACAATTGTGCCCTCCTGATCTGTAGGTCAACTAGGGGACAACTGATCGAGCATGGTTATAGCTGGAGGAGCTTTGCTTCACCCTGCAGTTGTCAAGGTTGGCTCTGCTCCACATGTCTCTTACCCTCCTCCTGGGACCAGCAGGCCAGCCAGGGCATGCCCTTCTCAGGGTGACGGCCACAGCACAAGAGAGCAAGCCCATTGCTCAAGCACATTTCCAGCCCCTGTTTGTGCCATCTTCTAGCATCTCATTAGCCAAGATAAGTCAAATAACCAAATTCCAAAGCAAAAGATGTGAATGTATAAGTATAATCTTATTACTAGAGGGCAGAGGGCTACAAAGAATTGGAAAAATAATCCAGTCTACTATCTAGTCCTCTCCCAGGTTGCATTCTACCACCACCTACCCAATCCATGACAGCTGAAGAACTTAAAAGAATTCCTGAATACAAAGTTAGTTGAAGTGTAACTGGAAGAGTAAACCTGATACTCTCAACATTTGCATTCAAAACTAGTCCTTTGTTTAACTGTCCACATCACTGTTTACCTCTACTAGAAAGGAAAATGAAGAGAACATATGTGTATTGTTTTAATGGGTATCCTCATTCAGCCCTTTCTATTTCTGGTCACCAAAAGCAGGTATGCACTGCATGGAAAAGGGTAAAGGAGCTGACCAGGAGAAAACACACCTACTACCCAGACCGTGCCTTCAAGTCATACTGCATTTCATTTCAGGTCCTTTACTAGAATGCAAATATGAAAAATTAAACTTTTACATCAGCTGCTGAACTCCCTCCCCCGACTGCTGGCAAAGGGTGCTATTTAAAAGCAGAGCAGAGCATGAGGCAAAGACATTATAGAAGGTTCAGAAAACAAAACACACCCCAAAAAACAGTGAAAAGGATATGAGAGGTTATAAACAACTCTTGCTTTTTTCAAGTTCAGCATATCCAGCAAAAATAGAACCAAATATCTCTATTACTTCCATTACAAGATAAACCTTTTACTTCTTTGCCCCCATTGTAGCAAAGGCTGGCCCCTTCACAAAGCTCTGAGGGGGAAAAAAAGGCATGTGGGGCCTGTGAACAAAGTTTTTTGGTTTTGCTTGGTTGTGTTTACTTGGTTATGACTGATACCTGAACAATATGTCTTCATCTAGCTTAGCACTTTTTTCCAGTATACCCTTAAGAACACAGAGACTGAAATAACATCTGAGAGTCCCAGAAGTATTCTGAGCTGAGAACATAACAAAAGCTCTGCTCTGCTACATAAAATTGAGCTGAGATTCACACATAATAACAATAATGCATTTCTGCTTCATGCTTTTCATCTTGAAGTCTGAATTTCTTGAAGTCTGAATTACCCACTTTCTGCTTCGGAACCACTTTGTAGCAACTTGCTCCCCCCACCCAGCTTGAGAGTACCATCTCTCAGATGAGAAGGTTGTGATGTCTCACAGCTCTATAAACAAGAAAAAGTAAATGTAGTTCTCAAACATAAGCCTGTACCAACCTTCCACCTTTGTCACTTTTCACAAAGAAATGTTGCATCTGATTTAATATGTATTCAGAACTAAGAAATCAGGTGCCAACTAATGAATTCACTGTCATTTATCTTTGGTTTATTGCCCATGGTTGACATTTCAAATAATGTAATCTCCCAATTAATATTCATTCAACCTCATATCAACAAATGACTACAAAATGTACTGTAAGTCTGCATGTACTGTAAGCCTTTTCCCTCCCTCAAGGATTCTACAATTCACTCTGTGTTATCCTTCTAATGTGTTGAATCCCAGGAATCTATGAGAGGGAAACAGATACCTTCAGGGAGAGGAGTCGCTTGTCTAAGGCTCGGGCAAGTTCCAACATCATTGCACATGGCACAGCTGAGTCAGTGGCTCCCACAAATACCCTGCTGTCCCAGTGGGGAAAATACTTGGAGTCGTAGTGGCAGGCAAGGACCAAGTGTCGTTTAGCTGTGGGATTGAGGGTGCTGATGATATTTGAGAAAGACCGGTACCCATAGGGTGTCTGACTTAAGAAGGTGTCCACTTCCAAGACCCAGTCAGCTTGAAGTCTCTGAATTCTCTGCATGATGTGCTGATCAAAACAAAAGGCAAAATTTCAGATCCAGACAGTTCGATTTGTTAAATTAAATTAAATTAAATTAAATTAAATTAAATTAAATATGATGCCTTTCAAGTTAAAAATGCAATACATGCTATTGAATTAAAAGCAAGAATGTTTAAAGGAAAAGCTATTCTTCTCCCTCACCCTGGTCTTAACCTTGACAGTCAGTCCCAACCAGTTGTTAATATTGACCAATGTTAATAGTCTGATGTATGTCTTTCCACACCATTCTCATTGTTTATACAAACATATACAAGCATGCAAACATATACTTGGCAAAGCATGTATGTTTTTATAGGGATAGAATCCTACATTACACATTACTCTGCCCCTTAACAATGTATCATGGACATTTCTACTTGTCAGGAGATACAGATCCATTTCAGCATGCATTAACATCCAGTTTCAATGTTTCTTGGAGGCTAAGAAGACAGGTTTGGGAAATGAGACATACTAAGGTCCTAAAGATCTCAACTTTCTCACTCTAAGCTCTTTGAGGACAAGAACTGCCAATGTTAGCCCTTCTTTCCCAAGTATATACAAACAAAAGATACTGCTGCTCACCTTCCTAGGATAATGTAGAATAATGTAGTCCCACAACAAGGGGATGGTTGGAGGACACCTGAGGTCCTGCCCACTCTAAGAATCAAAAAGCAAATCTGAACCATAATGACATAACAAGTAGTTATCCTTCTGCACCCCAGGTGAGTCCAGACCCACTACAAATGCTGATAAAAATTGAAAAGATTTTCTTCTCCCATCTCTCCTGATCACCTTGTGCCTTATGAACAATATGGTGACTGGTAGGAAAAAGCAGCAGATGGAAAAGAAACACACTTCAGGGATTGGAAGTGTCTTCTTTAAGAGTCTAGATTTACTGTGAGAAGTTATAGGTAAGTTCACTGCTGTTCCATTTGGCCTTTCCTATCTTTATTTTCCCTTTGCCTTATTTTTCTAAGTTTCATTTTTTTACTTTGAAATATTATATATACCTTTGCAAGTTGGCTTAAAGGATTTTTTAAGAGTCAAAAGACAACTAACCATCAACATAACTAGCAATTTGTTCTTCAATTAACATCCAGTAGGAATGGACTGTGAGGTGATAGATTAATTGCTTTTAATACAGGAAAAGAATGGGATAGTTCTTTTCCCTCACGGAAAAGTCCTGTGTGGCCTGCCCTAGCTAATGTGACACGACACGTAGGCAAGGACTTGGAAAAACTGTGGCAGGAAGGTTCCAGAAAGAGGAGAACTAAACTAGAGGGAAGACAGTGATTCCACAGTCAATCCTGCAAAAGCAAATAAAGAGACAGTTCCCCAGCTATTCACGCTTTGCTTTTTGTAGTGAGGTGGACTTTGGCCTATGTAGCATGTACACATGGCCCCTTACCTTTGTTATCACACACTTATGAGTTGTCTTTTCATATAATAAAAAGAAATGTTTATAACCTTTTGAAATCATTCATATCTCATTTGTTCTGTTATTCTCCACAGCTCTTGCTACTCAGCTTTGCTCACAGTGGGTTATCAGTAATATGGGTTGGTCATAACTAATGAGTTATTCTCAGTGAGAAGATATAAAATGATATGAGATCAAACATTAGTAGTTTGAAGAGAAGGAAATCATTGTGCATCAAAGACAAGCTTTCCATAGAATATAAAAATAAGTTATCAGGGACTTATTTCAGACTTGAGGGGAAAAAATTTTTTCCATGAAAGGGGTCATCTTAAAAAAGAGGCATATACTCCAGAACATCTGGTATCCAGATGATGAACTCCTCCAATACCAACAGCAGCCTACATGCTTGCAAAATGAACTGAAATCTAAAAAACATACCTGTGAGCTTTGCCCAGCAGAAGTCTGGCACACAAACTCGTGCTCAACTATTTAACAGGTTGAAGCCAAAATTCCTGATATTCATGTTGATGTTAAAATCCATAAAATCTTCAGCAAATACTCCAAGAGAACTCCCTGAAGTAACTTTTTTTTTATTCGGTATAAACTTTTTTTATTTATCTTAGCAACAAATTTCAACAAATTGGCTACATAATCTAGTTAGGTCATCAGTACCTCTTACTGTGCTGTTGGTTCTCAGGCATTGTCTACAATTCTCTGCAGTAGGCTCCAAAAACTGCTTTTCTCACTGGTAGCAGGGAGTGCTTGGCTGTGGGGGGACATCAAAATCAGCTGGGCTTACCTAATTCAGGGAGTAAATGTCTGGGTCTCGTAAGCATGCTAAATACAATTTAGAATATAGGCTGTTTGGGGATTATTATACATCTATTTTTTAAAGTGGGGAAGGGGTAAGTAGAGAGCGAGAGAGATGGATAGATGAAGACAGAGATATGAAGACAGAGATAGATGGAAACAGAGCACAGAAAAAAAGAAAAAGTTACAAAGATAAAGGTGGAGACCCGGAGAGAGAGAGGCAGACAGTGAGAGAGGAAGAGAGAAAAAAAATAGAGGTAAATACGACATTCTACTTCCTGGTGGGGAAGGCCCAGGGGATTTTAGGTTAACATTAGTGAATGATCCTGGGTCTAATTTAATTCAATGTAAACTCTCATTTCCAGGTTCCGAGAAACATGACATTGGCAGGCCAGTTTTGTTTGCAGGAAACAGGTCCTGCGGTATTTGTACCAAGTCTGCAAACACACCATTGTCAGGATGCTGAATTCTGCCCGGGGGGCCTTGAGGTATCTCCTCTTTTCTGGATGTTTCACATATCAGTGTCTCCAGCTCCACCCAGGACCCTCCACTCAGAGACACACAAACCTTCCACTGAAGTAGCCCAGCTTCAGCTTCTCAGATGCACTGTGCATCTATAGATTATTTTAGCCCCTAAGTTTTGCCTCTTTTAGACAGTTTTTGGCTTGTTCCTCAGTAAGACTTCATCCACCTTTTTTTGATTTATTTTTTATTCCTATCTCAGGTAGAAATCACTAAAATACCCAAAAATTTCATGCCTTCAAATTATTTATTAAATAAATTAACTCCTCAAATAAATATATGCTAAAAATCCAATAGGCATCTTAAGGCTTATTGATCAAAGACAATAAAAACAGAGACTATGGGAAATTGTTCCCATATTATTGTCTGAAAGAGAATCTATAGCAATGCACATTTTATTCATAACTGCAAAAGTTAACTTCACCAATTTATATTAAGCCTGCATTTTTTTTTATTTGAGAGTTTTCTCTAGTTATAACCATGAAATTCCATAATTTATAAAACATCCATCTGATTCAGTGCTCCAAAAGGCCTGGGGAGAAAAAATACATTTTACACCATTTCTTTTAAAACTTAGTTCTGCATGAAAGGTACTCGTCCTAGTCAAATTCAGGCCATTAGGGTAGTTACCTCAGAATGACTCAATGTCATCCACCTCACCTTCAAAAGTGGAAACTCTTTATCATCCACAGCTTGGGGGACAGCTCTCTAAAACTTCATGGTGATTTTCTCCTCAAAAAATTTTAAAATTGAGTATTTTTTGTACGATTTCTAACACAACCATCCTGTTAGGACTACTGCCGTGTCAGCCAGACCATGCATCAGCAGCCCAGCCACAGGCCCCAACACATTCCAAAATGCTGTCAATAGATTTCTCATTTGCCTCCACCCCCAGAGGACATGGAAAATGACATTACAGGTTCAGTAACAGTTTTCAGTGAATATAGAATTTGCGAATCACAATAGTATATCTGTGCATATTATTTATGCCATCTATTCTGTTGAAGCTAAATAAAGATCAAAACACCAGTATCTGTTGTATTTACAGACTTCTAGAGCATGCAGGCAAGGAAACTCAGGTCTGAAATATGCATGTATGTGTCTGGATGTATATGGCCTTCTGATCAAATGGTGTGGGGAAATGAAAAAGGTCCAGTTGTATGAGTATTAAAAGCTGCACTTTTTCTGATGAGGAATTGAGGGTTTTGGAAAGCCCAGTAAGTGTGCCCTGAGCTTCTTTTAAGAAAATGCTTGGGAGATGGGCTTAGGGAATATCACGGAAATGAGTGGTAAGCATCTCACTCTCCACCTTGGACACAGAAGACATTTGTGAGCACATGCTAAAGCTGGTTGGTTCCTCCCAGTCACTGCGCTCCAGCGAGAGGATGGGGAAGTCAAGCAGATTTGGGTCCACATCCTCACTTCTATGTGTGTGACCTTGAAGAAGTTCATTCATATACCTAAACCTCAGATCTCTTTAAATCTGTAGCATTAGGATAATAATAGTACCCAGGTGGTGGCACTGCAAGAACTGAATAAGAGGACCCGTGCAAGGATCTCTGAAAAGAACCTGGCCTAAAAACTTAAACCTCCAGTTTTTAATTTATTTTTTATTCCTACCTCAGGTAGAAATCACTGAAATACCTCCTCCATGAAAGTCAGCAGCATCATTATTTCTTGCTCTGCCTAAAGGTTAGAAAGAACTGAGGTGCTCTTTGGGTTTCCACCATCTAATTCCTTAGGAGAAGTAGGAGCTGTTTGGATGGAAGACAAGGGGTGAATGGGGCCACAGACAGTGACCATCTGGGCTAGACTTGAGGGGCAGAAGCCATATACTGGGGAGAAGGGAAGAGCCCAACAGCTGTGCCACCGGGCCTTGGAGGTGTCACTGTGTTACAGCAGGGGGGGTGTCTCAGGGCCTGAACAACTAGGCAGGTGGAGTACACTCAGTGGAGGAGATGAGGGGCCGGTCTCTCCCATACCTTCCCAAGCTGCCTCTTGAAATGGAGCTAGTTTGAAAAACAGCCATTCAGAGCTGGGGTTTCAGAGTGCTTAGAAAGACTGGCACTGAGGAGGCAAAGAGACATTCCAGGTCTATCCCACTTTATGGCTTAATCTACCCTCTATAGTGGTGTCTTTCAAACCACAGTGGTAAAACCAGTGGGTCTTTAAATCAGTTCATTGGGTCATGACCAGCATTTTTAAAAAAACAGTAAAATAGAATTAACAATATCAGACTAAACTGCAGGTAATAACAGAGAGGTTTTTTATCTTTTCTCATGAAACTTTTGCACCACTTAAACTTTTCTTTGTTTGTGTGTATGAAACATAATTTTTTTTTTTTTTTTTACCATAGATCAGTGACTGAAGTTTGAGAAGCACTATAGAAGAAAGTAGCTTATCACTGATTTTGACTCTCTTCCAGGGAGGATACTATTTCCCACAGGAGAATGGAGGCCTGATAGGAGAGTAACTTACCCTTGGCCCAAAGCTGTCAAGCAAGAATGGTCTAAGGCTATTGATATTGGGCATTTAGGACCCAAGAAACTTGGTTTTGGTGCTGGGGACTGTGATAGAGACATGATCAAGATTTGAATACTTAGCACCCTCTCTGATGTTGTACCCCTACAAAAATGTCACACCTAAATTGATTTAGATTAGCATATATCACTTAATTCAGAGCATTTTCTCTCAGTTGCTTGGTTTTCTCTCTTGCTCTTTTGGTGAATAAAAAAATGAGATGACAGATCAGAATAGGAGACAACTCAAAATTTGAGACATAACATTCTCGTTCACGTGAATGCCAAGCATTCAGTGACCTTGAGGTCTGTGAGCTGCTCTCACCTGGCGAGCAACATAGCTTCCAGGGGATCCCGGATATCGCTCTATCAGCAAAGGTCGTAAGTCATTTTGCCACATTTCAGAAACACTGGTGCCTTCTGCCACTTTGCGAAGAGACGATGAATTCAAAATGGCCGGCTGGTGATCATTCTGAGGATTAAATAAGATTATTTAACTATCATTTCATGATATGTTTAAGACTCATCCTGAGACATTTGCAATAGAAAACTATTTGCTTTGAACCTCGAAATAAAGGAATAGCTCTTTTGTCATGCAAAGTAAACTAATACTCAATTTCAAAACTACCCCCCTTAGATCTAGAAAGTTAATCTGTTTTGGGGGCTTTTTTTACAAAGTTAATAGAATGCTTTGAACCTGAGAATGTTTGAACCTGAGAACTTACTTCCTGTGTTAATTTTTAATGATTTTTTAGTACAACCACTTTGTAAAACTAAGGTTTAAAGATATCAATTATTTATCTCCTGTTCTTAAGAAAACCCAGTATTTAAAAACTGCAGCCAACAAACAATACTTTGTTAGCATAATTGCATTATAAGAGGCAATGTGGTTTACAGAATTCGCACTATCTTAGCATCAGAGAAGTTAGATTCCAGGCTTTTACAGCTACTGGTAGGTTGCATGACCTTGGGCAGGTCCCTTAACTTCCCACTCCTCTCAAAAAAACTGATAAAGGAATTTGAGCTACCTCTGCACTGACCAATATGGAAACCACTCACCACGTGTGACTACGAAGTTCCTGAAATGTACTTAGTCAAACTGAATTGTGCTTTAAGTATGTTTAAGCATACATACCAGATTTCAAAGACTTCCTATGAAAAAATGTAAAATAGCTCATTAATAATTTTATAGTGAGCACTTGTTGAAATGATAATTTTTGAAATACTGAATTATATATTATTAAAATTAATTTCACCTATTGATTTTTCCTTTTTTAATGTAGCTACTAAAAATTTTAAATTACATATGTGCTTCTTTTTGTATATTTCTGTTGAAGAGCTCTAACCTAGATGATTGTTGCAATTCCTTCCATCCGAGCTTGATGATCCTATAGCACACGAAATAGTACACTTTTCATGGTCAGCTAAAATTACTGTAATATTCTAATAATTCTCACACTCTTAGGTACACTTACATATTGGTTAAGGGAACTGAACTTAAACAGCTAAATAAACATAACACTCAAATTTGTATTTTGGATATTACTTTACACATGCTGTATTTTCTTATGATACTAGTAATGATTATTTTTATTCATTACAGGTTTGTCAGGCACACAATGACTGTGTTACTCCTCCCACAGGGAAGTGGGTGATAAACCAGATGATTTCTTCCCCAAGGAGAATGATGGAGGTAATACAGGATATCAAGTTCTTTGGATGCAACCAGAAATTGGGGGGCTGTGTCTATTTTTACAGTTTTTTCCAGGACCAGTATTAGCTGAATATGTCTAAGCAATGACATAGGTATTCTCACTCCATGTAAACACTTCATGTGGCTGGTGAGAAACTTTGAAATTAGAGAATGCTTATTGCCAAGTTAGTTACACTCATCTATATCTTGATATGTCTCAGTGATACTCTCTGATACTATCACGCAAAGAGCATGGGCTGTGGGTTCAAAGAGACTCTCCCAACTCAGCTTCTCACACAGTCTTCCTCACCCCACCTATTAGCTGTACCTCTGGTGAGGTTACTTAAGCTCATTAAGGCTCAATTTCTTTATCTGTGAAATGGAGGTAATAACACCTATCTCTTAGGCTAATAGTAATAAAGTAAATATTCAGTAAGTTTTAGTTCACTACCTACTATCAAACATGAAAGAGGTATAGAATTTAGGGAAGGAAAGGCCACTGACAGATGATTTAGTCCAACCTTCTTGATTTCTGTCAGTGGAAATTGAGGTTCATAAAAACCTGATTTTCTAGAGTTCACAGGAGAGTTATGGGTAATTCCATGAAAAAATACTGGCTCGATGGATTTCCAATCCTACACTAGTTCTGCTCTGCCTTCTGCTTCATCCACGCACTTCCCATTTACTCCCAAATGTTGATGCTGTGCCCAAACATCTCCAAGTTTGTCTTTGGTTACTGATAATACATTTTTTAAAAATATTTCCTTGATGAACTTGTCGCTGTAGCCTTTAAATTCCTCGGTATCTCCAGAATCTAAGTCCAGGCTAACTCTCACATATATGTTTGTGAAGAAAGCTAAAGATAAAAGATAAAACAATAAAAACATGAGAAGAGAAAAAAAGAAACCTGAGGCAAGAAGTCAGAAGACTTACATGGTTAATTATTACTTAACCTGACCCACAAGAGCCTGTTTGGTCTCTCCTGTTGCCTCACAAGCCCCATGCAGGGCCTCTTGCCCCAGCGCACCATGCTTCTGTCAGCCCAGCACCCTTCCAGGCCCCAGAGCAGGGTTTGAGGCTCTGCCCAGATGGGGCCTTTGCATCTGCTGGGAGATGGGAGGCTTCTAGTTTGAGGGCTTTTGCCTTCCTCTTCACCTGACTAACTCTCTCTCATTTCAGGTTGTAGCTTGGAGGTCACTTACATGTGTGTTTATTTGTTTAAGGTCTAATTTCATACAGGGTGTCAGCATCATGAGGGCAGAAACTCTCTCTTATTTCCCATTCTCTCTCCAGAGCTACACAGTGCCCAGCTCATATCGAACACTCAGTAAATACTGGGTGAACTCATCAAATAAGGAAACAGGAGATGAACTATCTTTCTGAAACTATCTTCACTAAGACTGTATTTACATAATAATAAAGTAAAATGGGCATTTTTGCCATCAGAAATATCAAATCAGTTGAGTGTACAAGCAATGAGACAGGAGAGACAGTGGGGGTTACCTGCTGTGCAGGGCCACGAAGTGCTGTGGGTCAATGTTGGTGGTCTTTGCTCTTTTTGAGTTTCTGACAGTCGATGCTTCTGATGATTTAGAGTTGGACTGGCCCAGGACAGTCACTGGGAAAATGAAGAACTCTGGGGTCAAAGGCTGTTTGACCAGTGGCTCTTTTTCTATTTACTGTCCATTACTCCGACTCAGAGCCTACCTGGTCACTGTGGATGAGGTCCTTCATGTCCACAGTGAAAGGAAATCAAGTTTAAATCACATTTAAATGGGTGATTTATAGAGGCTTGAAAGAGTTCTGAAGACATTAGAGAAAAAATAGGATCAAAATAAACAACCCTCCAGCATTTCTAGCTGAAACACAATATAGTGATAGAGAAGGTGCAACAAAGTTGGCAAATAGCACCTAAAAACGCTTAATGGATGAATAAAGGGAAAGTATAGTGGACAGGCCCACTGACATTCCTGAAGACAGAGACTTAACATGTATTGTCTCTCAGTCTCCTGGGCTCAATCATTTAATTAACATGCTTCAGTAAAGAGCCCACCCTCTCCCTGCCTCCCTGGGAGTAGGGATGCCCCTGTGAAATCACAGAAATAAGTCAGGAAAGGATGGAGAAGGGGAAACAACCACACTCGGTTAATTAATTAAGCCTTTCTATTCATTAAAGCCCTGAATGGAAAAGCACTTGAGTTTTCCAACTTAAATGTCATCAATTTGACTTTTATGGGGCTTTACTTGCAGAACTTGATAAATATAAAAATCTCTGAGGAGATGAGAGGGATCAGTAAGAGGAGAAACCTGGAGAGAAAGCCTGGGCTTCAGCATGAGGAAAAGTAAATAAGGCAAAAATAGTGTTGAGCTCAGTGTTAAATGCAAAACCCAGATTGTTCAGTTTATTTCAGTTAAAATGCACGTTGACAACTTTCTATTGGTACAGGCATTCTCAGAGGAATGAGTCTCTATTACAGCCCCTGCCTTGTCTTTTCATCCAGGCAGAAAGGACAATAAGTCTCCTTTGGTGACAAGAATCTTTCAGCTAAAAAGTGTGAACCAGATATCCTTAAGCATCCCCTCTAAGTTAATCACACCATGCCAGGCCAAAGAGGGTTTTACTTACATAATCTGTAGAGCTGGCCCAGCTGGCCAAGGGATTTGAGGTCCCAAACCATTGAATTAAAGGGGGAGTCATTACAGAAGTGCAGCCAATCTAATTCCATTTCCCATCCCATTATGAGCATCTCCTAGACAGCACTCAGATTAACATTTGTGTCTATGTGCAAATTCAACCCAGCCAGTATTTACTGAATCATGTGTACCAGATACCACTGACATTACAAGTGCAGTTGTGGGAGAGTTGGGAACTGAAGATGAAGTTCTGTCTTTTTTCAATGCAAGCACATATTGAACAAGCAAAGCAGTAGAGACTTTGAACACATCAGTGTAGGGTCAAATCCTGGCTCTCTCATTTACAACCTGTAACTAGGAAAAGCTCCCTTATCTGTAAAGTGGACATTATAGCACTACCATGCCAGATGGTAGAAGCTCAAATATGGGACATTTTGTCTTTTCCCCCAATACCCAGCTTACCACTGACCTCCCTGTCCCTGCCTTGAAGTCTTCATTGCTGCTTCCGTAAGAATCATGGCAGGTGTATGTGTATGTTAGGGAGGGGTGGGGGGTGTTGGCTAAGGACATTTAGAACTATGGAAGAGGGGAACCCTGAGGACTTTTAGAATACATGTGGTTCCAGAAACAGAAGAATGTGAAATGGTGAAGAGCGTAGTAACAATTTGCCAAAGCTGATTCTAAAGGAAGATTCCTATGTAAAGAGAACTTTACTATATACAGTTCCTCTGCTTTAAAAAATCTGCCTCTCCATCCCCGATATGACTTAAATTTTTCTACCTCACTTTTGTTACAATAAAGAAAGATTCTACCATTAAAATACATTGGGTTCTAGCTTTATGACAAAATTTAGAAACACTCTAAATATCCAACATTAAAGGGGTAGTTATATTATGGAATGATGCTGATTTTACAGTCATCAAATGATGCTTTCAATGCATTTTATTGGCTCAAGGAAATACACTATACAATTAAGCAACATAGCAAGATATAAAACAATTTATGCAGCATATCTCTAACATGGAATAAATATTCATGTGTGTTTATTTTAAAAATAAAAAATTAACCTTTATTAAGAATTTACTATATGCCAGCCACTGTGCCAAGCAAGTGTTTGACAAGGATTGTTGATATTGAGTTCTTTTAAAAGCCTAAAGGAGGACTTATTTAATGAGAGTTCTTTTAACAACTGGCTGATATGTTTGTCCTGAAGGTACGGATTTGTACCAAAGAAATAAAATTGGGGATCAAGGGGTGCATGATTTGGGAGAAGTCATCTTGGAATATGGATCAAATGCCCAGAGAATCTATGATGGAGATCAAGGAGGCAAAAAGGAATGAGAAAAGAGAAGTTTCCAAAAAAAAATTCCTATTTGGAACTCCATTTAGGGTCAAAGTTGACCAAGAAAGGGGAAAGTAAGCTCTTCTTCTGGCCCTCCAACCCTCCCACCAGCGCCATACTCCTTCACTATCTGGGCGCCGCTGCCTGAACCTCTTCAGCCAGGATGCATCTACCTAAGAGAAGAGGTAGAGGAGGAAAGAGGAAGTCTCTTCAATTTGCTGATGTTATGGTCATGTTTCCTCATCTGAAAATTGGGGATAAACACCCTCTGTTCACAGGGTCACTATGAGGTTCAAGTGATACATACACACACACACACACACACACACACGCACACACACACATATGATTCCTAATAGCCAGATGCAATGCCCCTAAATAGATACTTCTCGGCCCACCTGCAAAGCTAACAACTTACAACATTGCTTCCATGGGAAAATTGTTTGCAGGTTTCAGGTAACCAAATCACAATCTTCTGAACACAACCATAAACTAGGGTTGAACTGTTTTTACATATTAGATGCCACTGAAAGAAACACACCTTTATTTCAAAACAAAGAAAATGGATTTCAGAATCATTGTTTTCTTTACCACACCTCACCTTTCAGCAGACTAGTGTACCAAGGGCACACTTCACATGATAAAAATAATGAAATGCCATACAGGACAGGATGACATGTTTTAGTATGGACTCATTCATTACCCAGATTACGAACTGCACTGGCCACCTGCAGGCCTTTATGAAGGCCCACAGATCGGGAACTGTCACGGCTGATTAGGTCATTTGCTTCATTTGTTACACTATTTAAAAGCATCCAGTGTCCCAACAGTACAGTGATTAGAATATTTTTTTTAAATCAAAATGGATTCATGCTTCAAAAGACATTTCCAAAAGTTAGATTCTCATTAGTTTAAAACATTTTAAGAATCCAGAACCTTCTCCCACCCACAAACACATCCTGCCTACAATGATTCCTTTAAGAGCAGCTCCAACTAACAGCTCCCATCTTCCATATTCCCACCCATTTAGATGTATCAGAAACACACATTTGTGTGACTCCACATTCTGTTTCCTAATGCCCCCTTCCCAACTTCTGACTGGGAAGGTATACACAGAGAAGTGAAGGAGAGGATATAAGTATCTAACTCAAAGTTCCTTAATGGATATTACTTCTACGGAAGTTGTGTAACTCCATGGGAAATTGTTTTTCTTAAAATGAAGTTGCTCTTGAGCTGAACTCCCACATCCTCACCAGGTTCCCTGTGGCTGGTGGTCCCTGGGTGTAAGTGGGAGCCCGTTTGGCCCCCTGGATGGTGAAGCTCATTAAGTGTAACCCAGAGACCTGAAGTGGACCGTTCATATCCGTGTGTATGTGGCCAGAGGGAACGGCTGTGTGAGCCAACACAGGGCCTGGGCCTTCCCCCACAGGCCCCAAACTTACCCGTGAATACAGGCATACTATAAGCATTTAAAGGTCTGTTTAGCAACACTGTGAAAGTTTTTATCCCTTTAGGTTCTTTGCTGATTTTCTTTGTATCTTTAAAGCATACCATTTCACCCCCAATGCCGTTAATATTTGTGTAAGTCTCTAACAATTTCATGATTTCAAAATTGTTACACAAGAGAAAGAAATTATTGTGAACCTATTTACTTCCCTCAGAAGGAACTTGCAAATCACGTTTATCCTAAGTTCCTTATGTGAAACTTCCACCTACAATAAGATGCAGTTCTCTGACAACTGCACTATACTCTTTCAAGAAAAAAAAATTGTAAAGTTAAGCGGGTCCTTGGTTGGAGCTGCTCCCCTTAAAAACCCGAAAAGAGAAACAGGACTCGTCCATCCAGAGACTGCATGGAAACGCCAACGTCCCAAGGGCGTCCTTGGATGCAGCGGTGGGGGAGTCGAGGGCACACCCCCGGGCGCGCCGGGTACCCCAGTTGCCCGGAGCACGGAGACCGCCGGCCTCTCGGGTCAAGTGGGCGGTGACGCAGCGATGCGCGCTCACCTCCCTGCTTGGCCGCCGCCGCCGGACACACTTCCTGTGCTTCTCAGCACCCGCATCAGACCGTAGCCGAGGGGAGGCTGGTAACATCACCCTGCTCCCGGGACGTCTCCGGGATAGCCCGGAGGCCAGCGAGGCAGCCTGACCAGGACTCAGAGACCCCACTCCAGCGGGCGCCAGGGGCTGGGACGGCTGCCCCGCCTCCCACGCTGCCTAGGTGGGGCTCGCCCGGCCCGGGGTCCGCGCACCCGGCAAGACGCGCCCAGGTACCCTCGCGCAGCAGCAGCCCCTCACCTTCTCCTCGGTCCAGGCTGCGGGGCCCCGACTGACACCCCAGGCCGCCAGGGGCAGGACGGCCACCAGCAGCAGCAGGTGGAGGGTGCCCAAGACACGCCGGTCCCCTCCGCCTGCCATCTCCGCCTGTCTGGGCCCGGGTTACCCGGGCCGCCAGCGGTCACGAGCCCGGGAACGCGCGTCCTTCGCCTTCCCCCTTCTCCACCCTTGGGTCGACTGCGCCCGCCTCCCCATCGCCGGGCGGTCGCCTCCCCACTGCGCTGCGCAGGCCGAATCCGCAGCTCTCCTCCCCCACGACTTGCAACCCAGGGCTGGGCTATCCTGGGAGGCACAAGCTTCCGAACCCAAGAGAACAGAGACGACCACTTCCTTGTGTTGGAGAGGAAGAAAGGAAGAAAGAGGCATTTCTATGATCTCCAATGTCAAAACTAGGAAATAGGAAGGGCAAGGAGCGTTCATCAGACCTTGTGGGACTTTGGAGCGTTTTCCCACAGCTCATTAAGAAAGGATGGACAGGGAATTGACATTTACTGAGTATTTCTGTACCAAACTCTGTCCTAGGTGTTTTTCTGATGTTCCCTTATTTAATCTTAACAACCATGTGTATTAATCCATTTCCAGATGAGAAAACGGAGCCTCCCCTGTACAATGCCTGAACTGGAACCCTCAAAAGTATTTCGTTTATAATAGCCTATCATATCTTTTCTCTTTTTTCTGACAAATAGTTATCTTGCTTTATAGAAGACACTGTTATACTCCCAAACTGAGAAGTATGGTTGAAGTAAACATCTGAAATAAATGAAATCTAAAGTGTCCACAGTGGTTCTTTAGGCAATCATCTTCTCCAATGTATGACCCCAAAAGGAAAAGCTACGTATAATTGTATTTACTTTGTAATATCAAAAATCAGTTTTCAAGATAATCCTAGGAAAAAATAAAACGAAACTCAGTTTCGTCTTCAGGTTTCTAGTCTTGGTCATGACGATTACTTCACCATCCTCTTTCTTCCACAGTGAGAATCGGTGGTGGCCTCTAAGTCGTCTCCTAGTAACATATAGATCCCCAAACAATCAGACCGAGGACATTGAAACTGATCCGCTTCTCAGCAGAAATCTGAAGGTAAAGAAGTCTGCCAGAAGGTCACCCCCTCTATCTTCTTAAGCGTGGCTGTAAGGTGAGTTAAAGACAGAGGACAAGCCTGGGAATACACTGTTCTGCCTTCCTCTGGAGCTACTGGGAAGACTGGATGAAAGTACCTACTTTCCTGATGTCCAAAATTACTAATCCTATTCATGTCTGAGAGTTTTGAGTGACAATTTAAATCTTCAGTCTTAAAATTAAATTGCTTCTTTATGATATTTGTGTTCAGTTCATCTGATAATGGGACCACTTAAGATTTTTCTACTGGTACAATATTCAGAACAAAACCACAGTCACATCTCCCAGTATGTCTCCTCTCTTGTTGCTTAGGCCAACCTTTCACAATATGATTCCTATAAGAAAGGGAAGTGGAAATAGCAAACCTATATGAACCAAAATGTTGAAGATAATATCATGCCAAGTATAAGCAGTTCACAATAAGAAATAAGGAAATGCTTGAGTTAAAATGTTAACACATAATTTTATGAGAATTTGCCATTCTCTAGAGTTCTTCAATTTTATCCAATTCTGGTTATATTTAAGTCAGTAAGATGCTGTTGCCATTTGGGATCTGCAGGAAGCAGATTCTGAGACAGAGTTTAGCTCTCAGAATGTACACTTGGGACAAACCCCTGAGGGAGGGAGAGGGAGGATTGGGACAGAGCCAAGGGAAAAGTGAGCAGGGAAATGCCCCCCTACTCCACAGCCTCACCCAACCCCAGGGGAGGCCTGGTAGCTGAAATCACCTGTCAGAGTTGCGGTGCAGTGAAGCCAAAATGGCTGGGGTTCTATACCCCCACCTCACAGGGTGACTTCCTGCAAGCAGCTCTCTGCAGACAAAGGAACTAACAGCTAGAGGATGTCTGCCAACTGTCAGCAGCTGCTGCAGAGGGCTTCCCTCATCAGTATGTCTCTGTATCCACTACAAATGCATCCCATGATGCATGTCTTATGAATCTAAAACATTTTACATGGCAAGTGATGTGGATTTTAGTAAATTGTTTTTTACATGAGGGCTCTCCTGACAGTTTTCCATAAATCTACAAATCCAACATATCTCTCTATTTATGTATCCTTACCTTCTTTATTAATATGTTTTCTTCACCATCCTCTTTCTTCCATAGTGAGAATCAGGGTGGTGGCCTCCAAGTCGTCTCCTAGTAACATATAGATCCCAGAACAATCAGAATGAGGACATTTAAACTGATGTCCTTATACATTAAATATCCTTCTTCCCTCTTCCTTCACTCATTTTTTTCTGGAAACTTTCAGAAATCCCTTATGCCTGCTATTTTTTTTCCTACTGAAACTTTTCCTTTCCGCAAACTCTTCCTATCAAAGATAACCCATGACTATTACACTTAGTCAAGCAATTCAGACCTTATTTTTCATCATGGAAAAAAATTCATTATGTATGCAGTGATAAGTGCTAGTCACAAGTGAAGTGGTTATCATCTTTATTATAGTATAGGTTCTATATTGTGATTGAAGCACATTAAGGACCCAACCGCTCAAAGAGTTCTTCTCCATGCAGCTGCAATAGCCTGTTTTCCCACCTTTAAAATGACGCCCCTGGACTAAAGCATTAATGACCAGAATGTTCTGTTAAAATAGCAGTTCTCAAAATGTGATCTGTGGACCCCTGGGGATTCCCCTAGACCCTTTTGGATGTTGCAAAGTCAAATCAATTTTTATAGTAACACAAAAGTAAAATTTGCTTTTTTTACTGTATTAATTTTGCACTGATGTTGCAAAGCCAATGGTGGGCAAAATTGCTAGCACCTTAGTACTTTTCAAGATAGGACACAAAATTGTACTATTAAAAAAACTGTACCTGTACAGTGTATTCTTCACTAACATGCACAGAAAAAAAAAGATGGAGAAAGAAAAAGAAAAAAAGATAAAAGAAAAGAAAAAGAGCCAATGTGCAAAAGAATGAAATAGGATCACTGTAATCCCATACACAAAATAAACTACATGAGTTAAAGATCTAAATATAAGACATGAAACTATAAAACTCTTAAGAAGAAAACTTGGGCAAGAATCCCTTAAACATTAGCATGAGTAATTTTTTTCTGGATATATCTCCCTGAGCAAGAGAAACAAAAGCAAAAATAAACAAGTGGGGCTACATCAAACTAAAGGACTTCTGCACAGCAAGGTAACCATCAGCAAAACAAAAAGGCAATCCACCAAATGGGAGAATATTTTCCCAAATGATATAATAAGGGACTAATATCCAAAATATATAAAGAACTCACACAACTCAGCACCAAAAAGCCAAGTAACCCAATTAAAAAATGGACAGAGGACTTGAATAGACATTTTTTCAAAGAAGACATACAGATGGCCAACAGTCATGTGAAAAGATGCTCCACATCACTAGTCATCAGGGAAATGCAAATCAAAACCACAATGAGGTATCACGTCACACCAGTCATAATGGCTACTATCCAAAAGATAAGAAATAACAAGTATTGGCAAGGATGTGGAGAAAAGGGAACCCACCTACACTGTTAGTAGAAATGTAAATTGGTCCAGCCACTATGGAAAGCAGTATAGAGGTTCCTCAAAAAGCTAAAAATAGAAATACCATATGACCCAGTAATTCTACTTCTGGAAATTTACCCAAAGAAAACAAAATCACTGATTTGAAAGATATATGCACTACTATTTTTATTGCCTTATTATTTACAATAGCCAAGATATGGAAGGAACTAAAGTGCCCATCAGTAGATAAATGGATAAAAACGTGGTGGTACATACATACAATGGAATATTATTCAGCCATAAAAAATAAAGAAATCTTGCCTAGAGGGTTTTAACCTAAGTGAAATAAACCAAGCAGAGAAAGACAAATACCATATGATTTCACTTATATGTGGAATCTAATAAAACAGACATAGACTAATGTATATTGAGAAGTGACTTGTGGTTACCACAGGGGAGGGTTTGGGGGGTGTGTGTGAAATAGGTGAAGGGAATAAAGAGGCACAAAATCTCAATCATAATATAAATTAATAATGGGGATGAAAGTACAGAATAGAGAATGTAGTCAATAATTCTGTAACATCATTCTATACTGACAGTAACTACTCTAGTTGAAGTGAGCATTTAATAATGTAGATAACTGTTGCATCACTATGTATACTTGAAAACAATAATATTGTATATCAACTGTACTTCATTTTAAAAAAAAGAGAAAAAAGAGCCAGTCTCATTTAACAATATCATTCATAAAGCAAAAAAATTTTCATTATTAAATCTCAATCTTTGAATTCATGTCTTTTTAACAGATTTATTGAAATATAATTAGAATACTTTAAGTTGCATATTTAAAGTATACAGTCTGGTGAGTTTAATGTATGTTTACACCCATGAAACCATGTTCACACTACAATCAAAGAGAATGAACGTACCCATCCTTTACCCATGGGTTATTTAAAGTATGTTATTTAGTTTCCAAATAGTTGAGGATTTCCCTGATATCTTTTTGTTATTGATTTCAAATTTAATGCCATCATGATCAGAGAACAGACTTGATAGGAAAGAATCCTTTACAGTTTTTTAAGAAGTGTCTTATAGCTCAGAATTTGATCTAATTTGGTAAATGTTCCTCCTGCACATGAAAAAAAATGTATTCTTCTGCTATCAGGTAGAGTTCTGTAAGTGTCAATTAAGGCAAGGTAGCTGATAATGTTTCCCAAATCTTCTATGTAACTGATTCTCTGTCTACTTTTTCTACTGATTACTAAGAGTGCTGTTAAAATCTCTGACTATATCTGTGGATTTGTCTACTTTCAGTTCTGTTAATTTTTATACCATGTATATATTTCTAAGCTTTCTTATTAAATGCATAAATGTTTAGGATTGTAATTTTCTTTTATCATTATGAAATAGCCCTCTTTATACTTGATAATATTCTGTGCTCTGAAATCTACTTTTTTCCTAATATTAATATAGTCACTTCTTTTATTAGCCTTAACATGGTATAATTTTTTTCCATCCTTTTTACTTTTAAACTATTTTCTTATTTACATATAAAGAGGGTTTCTTGTAAGCAGCATCTATCTAGGTCTTTTTTTTTTAATACAATTGGACAATCTCTGGCATTTAAATGGAACATTTAGATTATTCATATTTAATGTGATTATTGATATGGTCAGATTCAAACCTACCACTCTATTTGTTCCATGTGTTCTTTGTTCACTTTTATCACTTTTTCTGATTTATTTTGGATTATCACTCCATTTTATCTCTTTTGTCAGTTTGTCAGCTATATCTCTGTTTTGGCTTTAGTGGTTGTTTCAGGATTTATCTTATACATTTTTAATGTATCACCATCTACCACAAGAATTATTACATCACTCAATGTGTAGTACAAGAACCTTACAATAGTATACTTCTATTTCCCCTCTTGGTCTTTGTGCTATTGTTGTCAGAAATTTTACTTCTAAATATGTTATTAACCCCAGTAGGCATTGTTCTTATCTTTGCATTAAATAATCATCTTTGGAAGAGATTGTTAAAGTTGTTTAAAACTCTTTTTTATTTACCCACATATTCATTATTTATGATACTCTTTCTTTCTTTGTGAAGATACATATGTCCATCTAGTACATTTTTCTTCTGCCT